ATTATCATCATCATTATCACTATTATCATTATTATTATATCTATTCTTTTTTCAATGTTAGCATGAAACTTTAATCACTGAAAGAAAAATGTGAAGCCCAACCAAACTTAACACCAGTAGGGAGTAAACTATGTAAATTCATTATTACATAAAGACCATACTTTGTTAAGTCCCTTGCTACGTACGATCGCAAGCAACTTAAACCCCCATCTCGACACATACAAACACTATCTTTCACCATGTCCACGTTCAATCTTTCTGTTTTCTTTCAAACACTCAAACATTTTATTAAAGGATCATAATTCATTTAAAAACATTTCATACATTTATAATTAATCACACGCAGCTTTTTGGGGGACACTAAAAGCAAGATCATTTGAAAATTAAAAAATAACTGTCTTAGTACTGTATACTTTTCTAAAGCAGGCGAAATAATGGTGTAATATCAATATGACAAATAATAACACTAGATGTGATAAACACGCCATGCAATGACAGATAATCGATACTTCTGCTATGAGCAGATAAGTAATTCTTTATAACAGGTCATTGTTGGTGTTTATGAGAAACAAACAATAAAGACTCAAAAGAGATAATAATAAGCTTTCAGAGAAGTTCTAAACCAAATAAACACAAATAGGCAAAGGTAATTATTGCCTGATAATTTCTTTAACGTCAGCCGAGACTTCAAAGATATTGGCATTTTTTGCATAGTTTCGATCCCTAAAATGAACAGATTCAGTAAGGCCTACTTAAGCCCACCATTCCGAACCAACTTGACCTACTACACACATCTGGGGTCTCCACTCGCCGTCATTCGCAAAAGATGTTTTAACTTGATTTTAGAATGGGAAGGTTTGCTTAAGGATTCCTTATATTCTCTGGAGCATAACACATTCTGGCAGAGTTCGGGTGTAAAGGGAAGACACCCTGTTATTGATTCAAAATCATACGCTTAATGAAGTTACATCCCTTTTTTAACACATGACGGGCCAAACAGCCCCCACAAAACAGTGACGACATCTGTACGATAAATCATGGTTTCTAGTGTATCTAAAAATAATGCAGGGAGAACTAGCATAAGGGAAAACAAGAAAGGAAGGATAAAGGCACGGGGTAGATACATGGGTAGGCAGGAAAATTGTTTATAACTTTTTTTTCCGGCAACAGTCCACTACTGTTGTTTTGTTGGGGGTTTTTATGCGGGTTTGTTCTTTAATACTTAACCTTGGAAACAATGGGGAATAACGACTTTAATGAGTGCTGGTAGATACAGTGGGTCAGAAAGTAAAAGGTAACACTTTCAGTGCCAATAGTTGACATCGCAATTAACATTTTTCAGTACTATAATATTTTAATGATTAGTTGTAATCATGAAAAAAAAAAATCCAACGTAAGACCAAAGGAAAATAAAATGGAACATTAAAAAAATGAAAAACCATAAATTGAATTCCCAACCCAGTTTTCCTAAGAGTCTTACATCAAGATGTTTATCACAGAATCACACTGGGTTCACTCTTGTTAATGATGAACCCACACACACACACACACATACACACACACACACACACACACACACACACACACATAGATGGAGAGAGAGAAACAAATGAGGAGGACATAACTCTGACATATTCTTCAGCATTTTATGTTGAAAGATAGAACAAAGTTTGAAGTAGGTCCAAGATTTTAGCACTTGAAAAGCTGAAAAATTTCTCTGAAAAGACGTACATCTTTTCTGAAGCTGATACACAGTTCACATGCACAAAGTGAGAGGTTTACCCAATTTCTTAATAAATTACTGAGATAAGAGGTGCAGTCCAACATGTCCAAGATAATTATCCATTAGTGAAGAGGAAAATGGTCATCTTAGACAGGTGGTCCTCTGGACAGTGTCATGATAAAATAGAAAAACACAAGGGGGAAAGTGGTCGTTTGGAGGGGCCTACAGGTCAGTGCGTTGGATAGGTGGTTGTTAGAGCAGGTTCGACTATGCTTCTTCTGTAGAATGGCCACTACTGTATGGTGAGACCCTTTTTGAACATTGTTCCACTCAACATTTCATGGTCATCACTCACAAAACTTAATCTTCTGTGACAGTGAGTCAGATTAAACGAGACAGATGAGCCAGAAGTTTGATTAATCAGCACTGGAAATTTAATCTAGATAGAAACAGTTACGGGCCAGTGCAGTTTTCCTATATAAAAAATTATGGTACTTTTTACATGAAATTTTTGACTACCTAATTTAGCTTTCGGGGGGGGGGGAGGGGGGGTTTGTAGATTTACACACAATTATGCATTTTCATAATAAACATCCACTTATAAAGGAGTAATTTTATGACCCTTCTGCAGAGTACATGCCTTATATTCTGCAAACTAAAACTTGTGAACTGATAACTGGGTCCAGTGAGGATCAATGTATTTAAACAACAAAGCTTGAGTAACTGATTATTCGGTCCATTATTTTTTTTATTCAATATCTTTTACGCACTGTATGACACTGCAGGATGAACTAGCACTGCAAACACATCCACAGCAAAGAAAGAAAAACACACAATATTATAGGAAGGGGTATTATCACAAGGTATCATAAGGTGATCAACGAGCAAGGAACAAGGCCAACAGAGCCATAAGGACATAACAGTCGCATGGAGAGAATAGAGTGCATTCACAGATGTCAACAGTGATATGGTCAGCATGCCCTCAACCAAACAGCACAGCAAAAGGTGTGCAGAACAAAAGCGAAAAAAAAACCTTGGTCTCTTCAGCTGCTGGTTCCTCCTTTCCCCTCAGAGCTGGAATAGGGGGAGATTTTGCGCGGTTTCGCTCATCCGCCTGTAACATTTGTCCAGTGTTTCAACACAATTTTCATGTTTAGGCTAAAAAGGTTATGTAACATAGATCTCGAGGCTGCTTATGTCAGGAGAAAATTGTGCTGTCAGCTATCACTCTTGTAAATATTAATAACCTTTGCGTGTTGAGCAAAGTTGTGAATGGTAACACAGAATGATTTATTATAATGAAACTAAGGATGAGGGGGGTAGGCACAGATTTATACTCATCCAGCTCTAAGTACTGCAAAGCAGGAACAAAGCATTTATGTCAAATTGATGCTTACATAAATTAATATAGTTTTGAAGAATGACATGAAGACTTACAATTCAAGTCATTACTTTGCAGAGTATTTTGCGAAGGTTAATCATACCAATTATATTAATTGAGCTGTCCTCAGGGAAGCATAAAGTTGATGCACCAAGAAAGCGCTATGAAGGCACTCTGAAAATGTCTCTGAAGGACTTCAACATTAACATGGGCATGGGAGAGCAAAGTTCCTGACCGACACAGCTGGGGAACAGCAATCACAAAAGGCAGCAAATGCTATGTTATGAGGCTTCATAAATTAGAAATGCCGAAGCCAAGTTAGAGAGAAGCTACACGTATTCACAAGTGGAAATGAAGCTTTTAAAAAAGCTTAAAACGTAGAAAACTCTTCTCTGACAGAATTGGTCTCATTGACCATACAGATAACTGCAAGTCATCTTCATCCTTATTTCCTCTATTTCTCTTCAGAAAATACTATCCTCTGTACTGCCGTGCCAAGGCAGACCAACGTATCTGCAAAAATTAATAATTCTTGCATCTTCGTTTAAATGGACGCCTATACCCATTCTGCATCTTGTGTCAAAGGCAGGAAGACGTATTTGCACTACAAATAGGATATTTCACTATGGCAAACAGACATAACTGAAGAGCTATGAACATATTTCCAATAGCAGTGAGATGTAACTCAAAATCATAAAAAGTGCAGATACCTCGCTTTGCCTTGGCATGACAGTGTAGATGCATTGGTTATCGTCAGACATTAACAGACAAATTATTATGTTATATTAATAAACTTACAGCCTGCCTTTCTCTGATCTCCAGTTCTCTCTGCTCCCTAATTTCCTGCTGTCTGGCTTCCTCTGCCTCTCGTCTCACACGTTCACTTTCTCTCTTCTTGTCCTCAGCGGCCCTTATGATTTCCTCATTCTTACGTCGAGCCTGGAGTAACAGGAAAACTCTAATTACTTTCTCCAGAAGATAGTTGTGACTTTTGACAATGATAGAAAGTGAGAGGAATGAGTGTGTCAATGAGGAGGGTAATATTTGTGGGTAGCAATAACTTGGAAACAACTGGGAAAGGAACATGACAAATATCTCAGTGGAGGAATATTTGATGACTAATGGTTTTGGAGGAATAAAAGGTGGGGGACAGAGAGAGATAGTGGGGAGATTCTCGAAAATAGTCTTTAAATTCGACTTTGGCTCCCCAAAACACCTCTACTTTTTTGCTCACTCATGAATTCCCTTTGCTATAGTAAAGGACGGCTTCTGTCAACATTTCTGCCCTCTTCAAGACAACACTATAGACCTACTTAATTTTCAAACTTTACAAATCTTATGTTGATTTTTTAATCTTAGGGAAGTCGGTAGAAGTAGTAAATTTGACAGATCTCTAAAAGAAACAAAGGAAATATACCAATTTACATCAAGGGAAGGCCCATACATGAAATAACACAAACGCTATGCTCTTGAGAAGTAATTTCTCAATATGATTAAACTCAATTGTATGAGCAAAAACAGTTTGCTTTTTATGTGACAGTTCATACTGTCAAAAATCAATCTTTGCACAAGGTCTCTCAAGTGGCAATAGTTAATCAGGTCAACCACATTAAAGAAAAGAAATGTTTCTTTAAGGGTAATACTAACCACTGGACTTGTGTAATATATCGCTGTTTCCAAACACACAAAAAATTAAATAAAAGGTGACAGAACCATCTCTAAAGGTGGTGCCCATTGGAGGTTCTGATCATTTTAGATTTGGTTATGTCTTTTACCGCCTCAGGACACACTATAAATAGACCAACCACCCAAACTGATTGCCCAACATACAGCCTTAAAAACAAATTACGTTTATTATTGAAGTTCATCATCGGTTTTGTTGGGTTTGTGCCACAGTGGTAGCTTTTGCCCCTCCCATGGAGGAAAATCAGGCTAGTCCCCGACGACCAAACCGATAGAACCAAACCCAACCCAACCAATTATGCCAATGGGCACCTCTTATTAGATAGAATAAGAGTCTTTGTCAAGTTATGATCTAGCACATGTTGCCATAAAATTTATACATGGTTCGAGCAATGCATAATTGTGTAAACTATCTTTCCGAAAGATGCAATTTGTGTCCCACAAAATTTATTGAGAATTATTTAAAAAGTAAAACCCTTATGATACATAGTCTAGCAATAAAACAGATACTTAACATTGACTCCAATGAATCCAAAAAGCCTACCTCTTCTTCTTTTTCTTTCATTTTCCTTTGTTCTTCATCATACTCTCTCTGCATGCGAGCCCTTTGGTCATCAAGAAGTTTCTGCTCTCTTTCCTCTTCCAGTCTTTCAAGTTGTTTCTTTCTGTATTCTTCTGCCTTCTTTTCCTCTATCTGTAAAATCAAAGAATGAATAAAGATTCATAATATTTTAAATTACAACACATCTGTATAAAATTGTACCATACAACATGTACTGATACGAATTGGTTGTTTTCCAGATATAGAAGTAAATACATTGAAATATATACCATGAATTTTTTTAAAAGCAAATTTAATTATTACGAATAAAAAGCCATACACATTTTAGTTTAGTTTAGTTTTAGTAGAGGTTTTACGGCGCTCGTAACAGCATAAGGTCATATGAGCGCCAGAAGATTGGAGGTGTTACAAGAGAGTAACAAACATAAAAAAGAAGAAGGGGAGATAAGGACGATAGATGTTTGATAGGACGAAAGAAGGAGCAAACCACACCAGAGCACCCACCAACCACCCACCCATACACATTTATTTAGACTATTAAAAGATGAGAGTTCAAAATATTCGTGGTCAGATTTTGGTAAGCTGAGCCACATTGCAATACAACACGTTGCATTATTTGGCATGGTGACTATAGTATTAGATATTACATGATCTAAGCCAACCAGATCATACACGGTAAAGTGAAAACTACAGTTTAAAACTATTGAAAGGAGCACCTCTAATAGTTTTACACAAGGATATCTGTATCAAGTCTCCTTACCTGTCTCTTCAGATCAATCTTGTACTTGTCAGCCTGCATTTTCTCTGAATCCGTCTGAGGGTAAAAAATTATATATTAGACTCAAGGCAGGTCAGTATAATAATAAAGAAAAAAAAGAAACATCAAACAATATAGGAAATGGCAACAGCTCATTTGAAAAGACACCCTCCAGCCGCCCCTACAAACAATAAACACACAAATAAAAAATATAGCAATAAATCTCCTTGCCACCCTGAGAAAGGTAGAACATGAAGAGTAAATCATATCATGACACATTTTTCATTCTTCTTCCATTTCCCCTGTTAAACTTAAGTTAACCAGGATTCAATTGTACAAACCAGTAATCAGCTAAGCTTACATCAAAGAGCTCACAATGACAAAGGATCTCCTTGAACTGAGACAGCAGTGAAGCACAAATAGAATTTATGAAAGGGGGGGGGGGGAACAGGGAAACTTTATCAGTGCAATTGGGATTAGGACTAACGTCACCTGCTCTACTGAAATTATTTCTTTTTTTATATTATTCTTTTTTATGGTCACCTGCTTCACTGAAATCAATGTTTCTAAATGTTATTCATTAATTTTTATCTTTAAATTTTTTTCGCATGAACAAGGTTAGAAGCTTCCATGTGACATAATACACACACACACAAAATCAAAATCATTCACCTTTGGCATTCCGAAAATGCCATGTCCACCTCTGGCAAACGACGGGTCCCCATCAGCAGTGGTCTGTGCAGGAGGTGGACCAATCAGGTCATCTCTGTAGCTGTTGGCTGCCCGTGAGGTATTACCCCCGGCACCTCCTCCTATATCACCTCCAAACCCACGAGGAGAGAAATCCACCTGTCTCCCTCCTCCACTGCGGTAGCTGGTGGGGTCGTTATTGTCTCTCCGTATTTGCCGAAGATCGGCTGTAATACATGTAAAGAGACAATTGCATCCATAGGCTATTTGACCTTTGTACTATAAAACCTTGACCACATGTTTAATAATTACCCAGTTGAACCTGCTCTAATGACCATCAGTCCAAAACGATCACACGCACAAGCAACCTCTTTCAACTACCCCCCATCCCCGCATATTTTCTATAATTATTACAACACCATTGTCTGAGAGGACCACTTTTCTCCTCCGCAATGGGTAGTTGTCTTGGACAGGTTCAATTGTATTGTTTAAGCATGTGTTGACAAAGAAGGACCTTCTTTAAAAAGAATAATCAAAAAGAGTACTGAGTCATATTTCCTGAGAAAGAAAAAGAAGAGTTCTGAGGTGTTGTTGATGTTTTTTGGTGTAAGTTTAAGTTTTGATAAGAGAAAAATCTTGGCATGTCCGAAACAGGGTAAAGCTGGCAAATTTTGGGTGCTACTTCACTGAGTGAATACAAGACAAGTGTTCAATACAAATTTCCTGTCTCCATGGTACCTGGGGAAATTTTCTAAGCATTTGTTGAGAGCAGACAGGTAGATACTCACATATGACATTTCCCTGTGTGTCCCTCATGGGGGCACCACCTCCACCTTTGCCAAAAGGATCGTAGTGGCGAGCTTCCTCCTCCATCTTCAGATCATACCTAAAGGGGTTAAAGTAACGTTCAAAGCATTCTGACAATAGTTTTTTGCTGGTTACTTCAACTGAAATTGCCGTTTACGTCAAAGCATGTTTTAAAAAAAGGTTGAACAACAAATATAATAGTTGACCCTGACATAAATAGATCAGTGGACTATTTTTCATCAAACATATTACTTGTGTATATACATTTACTCTGCAAAGCTGAGATAATTTTCAAAATCTTGTCAGAATAGCAGATTTTTTTTTTTAACTGGTAAATTTCCGTTTCAATTTCCTTACTTTAGAATCCCTGAGGTTTACAGGTCGTCATATTTGTTACAATTGAAATCACTGACTGAATGCATACATACAGAAAAGAAAACTTTCAAGCAAAGAAAAACTTGCATGCAACAATGAGACTTGAAAGAACACAAATGCACAATCTAGAGCATAAAATTAATTATAATCTCTGTCTGCTGTCAGGTCCTGTTCAGTGATCATTACAACAAGAATTCAGTGAAACAATATGAAACACTCTTTGATTTTACCTTGACCCACGAGGCCTAAAATAGATTGAAGAACATTCAGGTACCAAATGTAATATAAGCAAAAACAAAGGAAAACCATATCTTCCTGGTTGACTTTAATATTTCTATAACCTCAACATAAAATGAGCAATTTTCAAAATGTGAGACCAGCTGGAGTGCCTCTTTTTTCCACCCACCAGAAACAACACAGGCAGAGAATTTGTTTCAAATCTGATTTTATGAACAAATAAAAATAAGTCAATTAATTCATTGAAAATTAGCACTAATCTACAATCTAACTAAATAAATGTAAATGAATTTGGAAACTAATGTGTTTATTATGTTTATTTTTGTAGTCTTTCACTAAACTTGAATATCAAACCATTCAAATAGTAGGCCTCCTCATAGGAAAAACAACTTTTAGAACCTATTAGGAAACATTTCAGATGCAATTTCTGTGAGCTTCAAAAAAAATCTAGCTGGTCAACGAGTGTGGACACACACATCCCATTCATATTTGTCATCATGCAACACTCTTTTATTCTGATGTCTAGAACCTCCCCATGTTGATAAAAAGAATGAATCCATAAGAAAAAAGTTTTAGTGTAACTATACTTTAACTACTATAAGAATTTTATCATCAATGATTTTCGCCAGTGGTGCTGTTATTGTGGGGAAAAAAATAGGCAAATACATTAATGCTACCTGTAGGTATATACTAAACAGAGACAAACATGTCACTTGTAAATGTGAGGTTTATGAATTGTAAACTGACAAAGATGGGAAGGTGTTCGGAATCAACAGTATTTGTTTGTTTGGTAAGTGATTTACAGTGCCACAAATACATCAGGTCATATGATCTGTGTATGTTTGAATAGTTTTGTCAGAGTACTTTCTAAGACTGGTACGGATGCTGATTGGATCTTTAAGGGCCAAAATAGTAGAGTTAGAAAAAACAATTTCAAATAGGAGAAAAAATGCTCAGTTACACACACTTTTAAAAGAACAGAGGCAGGGAAAGTGATCTTTTCTCTTCTTTTTTTTCAATAGCACCAAAGTCTGAGTATAATAAAGACCACAGAGTATCATCTCACCTTTCCTTCTCTTCCCTCTCTCTCTGTTTCTTCATGTTCTTTTCCTGGATTTGTCTCTCCAGCTCCTCTCTGTAGGCCGATGTGCTCTGCTTTTGATCTTTCTTACGGTCATCATCCGTGGCAAAGTCCATGCCAGCAGCAGCTCTACATGAGATGTAAAGAGAGATGAAAACCTATGTTCCGCATTTACCATAAAGACCTGGGGACACACTGCCTTTACCCTTTTATAAATTACTTTAGTTTAAGTAAGAGTTTTAAGGAACTAACAACACAATTAGGTAATGTAAGTGCCGATTTTTTAGCTCTTATTAGAGAGTAACAAACACAAAAAAGGAGGTGAGAGAAGGATGATAGAAGTTTGATAGGAAAGAAGGAGAAAACCAAACCAGAGCATATGCTAATCACCCACCTTTTGAAGATTGAAAGCAAGCTTCTGCCAGTGTGTAAATATGCTTGCTGGAGTAAAGAGAACTGCATCAACAAAATAAGTCCTTTAATAATAAATATCACTTCTTTGGCACCCACTTCCTGACGGCTATAGGCACTTTACAAAATTTCGAGAGCTTACACAATGACATATTTCATGCATCTTGACCCATGGATTGTAAAACAATTTTTCAAATACATATGTACCCATTATATATCAAATTTGACAAAAGTATACATATTATAACAAAATGTGGCAGCTAATCACATTTATTGTTGGAAGAAGAATCAAATAAACTGGGAAAATAGCACAGGGTAAAAGGAAGAAAACAGACAGAAACAAAAAAAGAAAACAAAACAAAGAGGACCTCAAACTACCTGGAAGCCTACGCAGGTGGTGGTAAAAATGTAACAGCCACCTAAGGGAGTTAAGGTGCACAGCCCCTGTAGACTTCAGGGACGACAACTCAAAGATTAAAGTATTCAAATACCAGTGTGGTTGAGTGAGACTCTTTGCAGGAAAAAAACCCACACAAGAAATGTGAGGTGTGCAGACAAAATGGGTTACTCCTCAGATTTTAGCCTTATGGAAATTGATACATCAACTTTATAGGTGAAGTTTGCAAAATTTGTAAGTATGGAATAATAAAAGACACGGTAGACTTGAACAAAATGGCATCGATTAAAAATCTATAAATCTGATCCCAGTGTCGATTTTTGGCCGATATATCCATTCTTGGATTGCGATAAGTAACTCATTTTGTCAGCACGCCTCACAAATTTTAAATCATAGAGTGATTGTAGCTACTGCTGAAGATGCTCTTACTGCTGCCAATACTGACCAAAAAACACCCCCCAAAGACTCAATGCTTGAGGAGTACCCACAGAGAGCATTACTATTATAATTATAGAGAAAATAGACATCTCAACTGTCCGGGTAAAATGCCATTTTTAGCATATAGAATTGCATCTTGAATTGAATTTAAATGTGACTAAGACAAACAATCCCTGTGTTGAACTAAATAGTGTCAAAATGGTTAAGGCCATTACGAAGATTATATATATGCGCAACTGGGAGGGCATACTTTTAATAAGAGTGTCTACAAGCCTTTATCTCAACCAAACCACAGACTGTGGGCACAAACCTGTTCTCTCTGAAACGAACTCGAGAAGTTGGACCATAGTCTCCACCTCCTCCAAGGTTCAGGGATGGTACGTCTGCTGGTCTTCCTCCCCCACCACCACCACCTCCTCCTCCTCTTCCTCCCCCACCTCCTCCAAGTCCAGGGGCTGTTAAAGAGGGGGAAATGGAAAAATAAATCGCATGTGGATTCAAAAAGGCAGACTTATTTGACCTTTTAATGACAAAAACATGAACAGTGAAAACAGAAGACTGCCTCCCACTCTCCATCTTCTCTCTCTCTCTCTCTCTCTCTCTCTCTCTCTCTCTCTCTCTCTCTCTCTCTCTCTCTCTCTCTCTCTCAAAGAGACACATTTTCTGATCAATCAATCATCACTGAGTGATCCTTTCACTGCTAGAATAGATCTGTAATCATACTGAAGACATGAGACAGTCGAGGGAGATAAAGTGAACTGGTGGGGATACTTTTGCTAGTCAATACTATGTAGTCTTTCATCCTTTTGGTTTAAAAGATATTGAGGAAACAGACTAGACTTCTAAATGACAACAGTCTCAAAAGTAGAAACATAACAATGTATCCACATTCGAACCATCTCTCTCTCTCTCTCTCTCCCTCTCCCTCTCTCTCTCTCTCTCTCTCTCTCTCTCTCTCTCTCTCTCTCTCTCTCTCTCTCTCTCTCCCTGTCAACATCTGCCTGTCCGTCTTTTTATCTACTTGTCTGTCTGTCTCATTATTTGACTGCCAGTTTATTGATCTGCCTGTCTCTTCATTTTTGTCCCCCTCCTACAGACTCATGCCGTGAGACACGTACACATAATACTACATTATTAATACACATATGCACAAAGAAAAACAACACGTTTGAGATGAGATTCATCAAAATAAAGCATGATGCTGTGGTGACAAAAAGAAAACAAAGTTGTATAGTGTGCATGTACTGACGATACTTTAACTCCTACTGTTGTGATATTGTGTGCTCACCACTGAAAAACAAATTTTCGCAAATTATAACAAAAGCGTTCATCAGACAAATAAAAACACACCTGGCAAAATGAATACACAAAGTAATATACTTTACAACAAGAGTGGTATGGAAGACGTGAAGAGAATGTGGTATTTACTACCACAACTCACAAAACTCTCAATAAAGAATATTTCGTTTAAAAAAAAACAACTTTTAAATCAAAAACAGAGTGCATTTTGAAATGAGTACTAATGATGCCTTAAAAGTATTTCAGGGTAGATCAAATTTTACTTTCTTTAAACAAAACACTTGTCTCAGCCTCAGTTATAAAAAAGTAACAGTCATTTTCCTACCCACAGCATGTATCCATTGTGTACAATATTGAAAAAAGCCCATATGGGAACATAAAACAATAAAAATTAGCAACACAAAATTAAGCATAATAATATACATTATCTTTCACCTTCAAACACTTAAGACATTGAATTGGAAGCAGAATGGAAATTGTAACAAACTTTGATTTATTGCAGCGAAACATTTGTTGAGAGACATCAATAATTTCTGATCGATAATCAGAAATACACTGGGCTAATCAACCCTTGGGAATGTAATCATGCAAGTGGAGTTGGGTTGGGGTTTTTTTTGGGGGGGCGGGAGTTTGGGGGGAGGGGGGTTGGTGTGTTTGTTTTTATTTGTTTTGGTGAGGGTTTCTTTTTTTTTGGGGGGGGGGGGGGGGGGGGGGTTGGGTTTTCTGGGGGGGGGGGGGGTCAAATTTAGTATGGAAACACTAAAAATTAGTGTGTTTCATCTGAAAAAAGCACAAAATTGAGTCTCAACCTTTGCCTTAAGTGAGTTTTCCCCTCAACATTTATATCAAGACAGTTCTGGCCTTTTTAGATTCAGAACGAACTATACTTTTACTTTTATCCACCTCTTATACCCTTTTGGGTGTCGCGGGGAAAAAAAAGACGTCTCTCTACCACCAGCCGGAGAGCTTGGGTCAGAGGGATGCCATGAGTTGTTAGTGTTTCCCTGACTCCATCTATCCAGGTCTTTCTCGGTCGCCCTCTAGCCTTATTGCCATTGAATTTTTTTATGTAGGCACATTGTGCTGGATGCACCATCGCATGAGATGTCTGAATCATTTGATTCTTTGGTGTTGGATGTGATGCATAACATCATTTGTACCCACTATTTCTCTGACTACTGAGTTTCTAATTTTGTCTCGCATGGTCTTGTTTGCTGCTTTTCTAAGACATCGCATTTCACATGTTGTAATTTTTTGCTCCAATGTCTTGTTCGTGGTCCATGTTTGGCATTGATAGGTGGGTGTTGGGATGAATATGGTGTTGATCATTTTGAGTTTTGTCGTCAAGGGGATGTTAGGATGTTTCAGTAGTGGAGCAAGCTGGTAACTAACAGCACTGGCCTTTTGTACTCGTGTTTCAGTTTCTCTCTTCAGTCGCCCATCTTCTGTGAACGTACTTCCGAGGTGTTTAAATTCTTGGACCTGTCTGAGACTGTTGTTGTTGATGCGTATTTTGAGTGGTCCTTGATTTCTGCTTACTTTCATTCTCTCTGTTTTATTGATGTTGATCTCCATGTCGTAGGAGTTACATTCTTTGTTTAATCTGGTGGTGTGTTGTTGGGGACTTTGTTCGTCTTTGTGTGCCAGGATTTGGTTGTCAGCGAAGAGTAATTCATTTAGGGCATCTGGTTCTGTGTTGGCCTCTTTTGTAATTCTATCCATATATATATGATAAATAGTAGTGGTGATAGGACACAACCATGTCTTACTTCCGATGTTATCTCGAACCATTCTGTGAGTCCCTCTGACGTTCTTACAGTACTTATGCTGTTCTCGTAAATGGCACGGATGTTATCTAGGAGTTGGCTTCTTACAGTGCAGTTTTCAAGTTCTTTCCACAGCTGTCCTCTGTTCACTCTGTCGAACGCTTTCTCCTGGTCGACAAATACTATGTTTAGTTCCCTATTGTGTTATATTGCCCTTTCGCATATTCGTCGTAGGGCAAATATTATATCGTGCATCCTCTTCCCTTTCTAAATCCCATTTGGGCCTCACTCAGAAATGGTTCAACTTTGTGTCTTGTTCGTCATTCCAATATCATGGCGAACATCTTGCCCACATGGCTTAGCAGTAAGTAAAATGCCTCTATACATTCTACAGTCTCTCTTACTGCTTTTCTTCTTCCAGATTGGTACTATGACTGCTCTTTGCCAGTCGCCGGGAACTTTTCTTTCTGTCCATGCTTTCTGGAAGATTTTTGAGAGCCAAGTTATTCCAGTTTCACCACATGCTAGGATAGTGGGCTCGTCTATTCATGTGCCCAATTTATTGGGGTGCTGATTTTAACTGCTTGTCAGACCTCTGATGGTATGATGGTCGGTCCAGAACTAACTATAGCTTTTAAAGGCATAATCAAAGTCTTTTTAAAAGGTTGTAATTTTGTATTTCTGCCAGATAAATTCAGCATCATCAGTGCCTTTCACCCCTGGTAAGGTATAGGCCAAATACAAGCTCCTTCAATTTATCTCTATCCTGGGCCATCCTTCCTCGCTCGTTCCAAGTGAGCTTCATCTCTCTCATGTCCCTTTCCACACATCTCCTCCATGTCTCTCGTGGCCTACCCCCGCATCGTGCTCCCTGTGGGTTCCATTGCAGTGGCTGTCTTGTGATGTTTCCAGATAAATTGTTTCTGTTTTATTTTTAGATCAGATTATCCCGCAGTGAAATTATTAGAAATTGTGGCACATTAATATAGTATTCACTATATAATACAATCAAAAGCAACAAAGATGTAGGAAGCGTTAGGAGGAGAATACTATACGCATCCCCTGATTTACAGCACCCACAAGTTGAGTCACATGGTGAAAACAGATGTCTATATACCAGTCACAGCAAACACCATATGTAATGTATGACAAACTGAATGTATACCTTCTGGTTCCTGGGGTGGTTGCTTTTCTTTATAATCCTGTTCTACCCCTGAGGGAACAATTTATTTGAAATGACAGTTTTGCACCGTCCACTTTGGCTTACAAACATGAATGGCGATTAACAGAGAAAAATACAAGTAGATTTGGAACATGATAACATGCTTCCACACTGCATACACTGTGATCCTACATGTTTCCCAAGAGAAATGTTCATTGGTATTGATCAGTCTTATCTCAAAGGCTGACGGAATATCAGACCATAATTCCGTGAAATTTGTTATAACTGAACGAAAAAGTCTAAATCAATTTTCTTTTTCTTATTTGGATTTAAACAAACACAACCAGGTAATAACGATGAACTTCTTAAACAATAAGAGCAGGAAAACTGCTTAAAATAATGGGGAACAGTTCAACAAACACTCAATCCCCATCCAAAACAGTGCTGACCAACTATGGGACCTGATTCGACACTACAGAACAGATAGGGGTCTCCAGAAGAAAGTCCTGACTGAGAAGTTGCCTTCTCGTGGCAACTGCACAGGCACTGACAGCAAGGTTGGGCATGGTTGTAACCTGAGACCATTGTTTGGTACAAATATAAGTTACACGGATATAACAGATAAAGTGACAAAGATGGGAGGAAAAAAAATGCACTCCTCCATCAATGACAGAGAAAGAGAGAAAAATGAGAGGTAAAGGTGTGGCAGCACACTATACAATGTTCTCAAGTTTGGCACAGACACTGGATGAAGCAAAAGAGTGCAGATGATCGATTCTTTCCTTCTGTTCTCTGCAACCATCAATCCCTGACACGCATGAGTCAGCCCTATAGCCACTTGAGCTACAATATCAGGATCTGAACTTTGCATAACACATAGCACAAACATAATTGTCTGTTGTGACAAGACGGTGTGAGGTCATTGCTTTTAGGAACACATGTAGAAAGCAATTTTCATCCTTTTAACTATCATTTTCATCATTTTCTCAGGAGCATTTAGTCTTCAACTTGATACAGTGTAAATAATTCTTCCTAAATCTGTACTTTAAATGTGACTTCTACTTCATCATGTTATAAATACTATGAGGCAGCAGCAGAGTTGAAAGGCCACTGTCTCTTAACCTATACTTACGAGCATTCATGCTTGGATCCAAAGGATTGTACGCTGCATAAAAATTGTAGGCTTCATCCACGGAGTTATTCAGAGTGGGCACGGCATTGGCTGTGATGAATGTCCTGAAAACAGAAGACCACAGGAGGTATTCATTAAGACATCCATTTATAACTTTTGACATTTTCACGGAAGTCTCTTCTGCAAAATGAGTATGTTTTATGCGATGTAGGCCAATAGCCTTAAACACTGAAAAATCCGACCTTCCTGCCTTCCTAGCATTCATGTATTATTGATGAAAACATCACATATTAACCTGTTATAAAGGATAAATCATGTTTACTTATTCAAACATCAATGACTACTCTACAAGAGGTATTTCAGAAACCTCAAGAGCCTATTTGTACTGGTATGAACACTTGGACATCTTATCTGGAGATATTAAAAGATATTCACAACAATAATGTATATAATTATGTAATAGAAAATACTGAGAAATACATAGAGTGGTCACAGTGGTATAAATGCTCTGAAGCCGGGATATCATTTAAAAATTAGATATTCTGTTCAAATTAAAGAGTCATTAATGTTTAAGTCGCAAAACAATTACACTGTACTAAGCATGCATTTCAATACATGGATTTGAATTTGACTTGGGAGCTCCACAAATGAAAGGAAGTCTAAGATTATGAAATCTACAGTTCAAATTTTGCTGAGTATGTGGTCAGTGTCTTGTGAAATTCAATGTTACATACAGTTTCTGTAATCAAAACACGACTTTGTCTCAACTTTTCAATACAAAGAAATGGAGTTAATAAGGGAAAATAACGATATCCTCAAAGAAAAACATTTTTTGCAACAAAGAAGCTAAAACTGAAAAAGAGGACAGCATTGATGTTTTACACCACTTTTACACATCTGCAAACACATGAAGATTCAAATATGAACTCATGAACAAAAGCAAGAAACTTTGGTGTAGACTTGAATCATCTGTCCAAGTGTGAGCATTATGATTCTAATGATTCCTTGATTAGTTCAAAGAAGTAGAGAGAAAAAAATCAACTGGATAGTAACAGGTCATGCCAGTTTCAACAGAGTAAATGTTTTTCAGAAATAAGGGTCAAATTTTTTTCAGCTATGCTGTATTTACAGATTCCTATTGTATTGTTCATGGTTAGTACAGCATAAACCTTTTTTTTTTTTTGTAAAGTGTTTTACGGCGCTCGCAACTGCATAGGTCATATGAGCGCGCGGGACACACCTAATATTTTCAGTTGGTAGGAAATTTTGAATTTTGCCCGGGTGGCGGCCGAAGCCTACTCTTATCGATTTTAGACACCAAGGGATCTTTAACGTGCGCAACTTGCACACGGGCCCTCCGAGATTTTTCGCCCTTGTCCGAGAAGGCTAGGTGTAGATCTTTCCTACCAGAAGATCAGGGGTGTGGCAGAAAGACAGCAGTAAGGAGGAGCCAAGGAGTAGCAGTAGAAAGGCTGCAGAAAGAGTCAGGAGCCCAGAGGAGGGGCAAAGGGGGTGTGGGGGTGGGGGCAGAAAGTGGAATTGAAAGCAGACGACAGAACATTGCTAGAGAGCAGGAAAGGAGGTGAAAGGAGACAATTTTAGAGAAGAAAATATTTCGGTCGCTACCCGGATTCGAACCCGGGACCTTTGAATGAGAGGCCAACACCTTAACCTCTAGGCCACGAGAGCCCCCCATAAACCTTTGAAGCCGTACAGGGACTTCAGGCAGATAGGACGCTGAAGACAGAAGCCCTCCAAACCAAAATTCCTACCAAACAATTTTAATATCTAGGAGGGGTTCGTGTACAGAGATGCATATCAGCACAATAACAGTAGTTTGGTATTCAGAAAGAATGGAACTGATCGTCAAAAACAATAGAAGAAAAGAAGAAAAGTAGGACCTACCATTGGCGCTCTCTAATCATCAGCTATTAATTTTAAACAAACCATTTCTGACAATTATGTTGAAATCACAATCTGAGTTAGCCCTCAATGACACTTTTATTGCCTGGTTCTTAAGCACTAATTTCAAACATTTTTCTCATCACTCAAGATGCTAGATCCTCAAATAACATTGTGAAAAATTATAGCTTATTTCTTTGTGTGTGAGTTCAAATCCTGCCAATAATTTTAAAGGTGGCATATTTGTATTCTTATCTGAGAGAAAAAGCTTGGAAAAACAACCGGCTCAAACAAAAATTTCTTTATGACAATGTGTTTATCAAACTCATAACTCAACTGCACCACACCAACAGACCAAACTGTGGTTGTCCAGTAAAAATTAAAATTTTTGTTTTTGTTTTAGCTGTGTTCCTGTAGAACAACCGGCTAGTTAAATTGAGTCAATAGGGGCATAAAACACTAACACTTAAAGTTAAATTATTGAACGCCCCATTAGCTGCAATTGGGTCATTTCAAAGGGCACTTTGGACTCTTGTCATGTGATCAAGGTGAGAACTTGTAGAATGATGATGATGATGATGATGATGATGATGATGATGATGATGATGATGATGATAAGCCAACAGCAGCAGTCAGAGAGCTTAGAGTGATACGATGTGGGAAATATGTGTTGACATATTACATTGCTTCAAACACAGTAGAGGGTGCCGAAAACTGATTGAGAAATACAAAAATCGTCCAAACACTGTACTTCTATTTGAAAAAAAAATAATACCAATTCAAACACATAAATGACAAAATGCGTTGACGACAAAAAGAGATAACTGAAAACAAAAAAGTATATCAAAATTTAATAATTGCGTCTCTGTATACTGTGAAGACAGACAGAGAAAACATAAGAATATCAAATACGAGAGAGAAACAGATTCCACAGAAAGCTTATCTAGAATGAAATATGACAAAATAAGGAAGTAAGTGATGGAGATATCTTACTTATTGTACCATCTTTAAGGTTTCAAATACCAGGGAAAGAAACAGAAGGAAGAGAATTATTGTTCTGAAATAACATAAATTATGGTGTATTCAATACAAACGTGAAACACAAAGACAGAAATCCACAGACAATCGCAGATATAGGCTGGAGACTCAAAAATACTACTTTGACAAAAACTACTGTCAGGTAATTCTCTTTCCAATTAAAGAGTTGATTCTTTCCAAAGACGATGCTCTGCAAGATTTTTACTTTTGGTAGTTGTTTTATTATGTTTAGTGTTACCACAACAAAAATAGCATTATTACATGTTCTGAAAGTAGTTTGCTCTATTGATAACTGATGAAATGTATAAAACGACATGCACTTAATATGATAATCTTGCATATCTGAATCAATCTGACGTCAATTTTTTTGTGTTAACATAAAAGTGAAATGTTAATACCTGTGTTCCAGTAAAATTTAGAGGATCATTGCCAGTTCTAAATATCATAGCATATTGTGAGATGCAACATGTACTTTTCACTGCAAGGTTATATCAAAACGTTAAGTCATGAATTGTTTACATTAAAAAGCAGTCAACTCTGAAACGCAAAAACACTAACAACAAAACAGTCACAGAATTCATGGAAAACGATCAAAGTAACATCAACATCATGCAAACCCCTTAGGACAGCAAGCCTTTGGTCAGGTCTGTTCATTTACAGCCTATTCAATAACGTTTTCACAAATAACACAGAGCCAAGGAGGGTGTGGCATTGTTTGTGAATGACCTTTGCTAAGTCTTGAATAAAATATTTTTCTAAATTCATAAAGTCTATCTAATTGCTGAAATCATTTGTAAAGTTTTGAAACATAAATCAGCATCCTTATGTTCCTAACCTAAGGGGTTGATAATGTGATGAAACTATGACCAGGAAAATATAATAATGAAAATAATCAGTTTATAAATGCAACCAAAGCCAAAGATTTATGGAATCGGAAAAAGATTTCCAATATTTTGGAACCAAAGGAAAAATAAATCGTTGTTTAACATTCAGTGCCAAGTATTAATCCGTGGCCAAAGTCCCATTGCCAGTAAGTGAAATAATCAGAAAAAAGCAAATAAATAGAAACTCTACAGGAGCCACATCAAGAACGTGCATCAGAGAACTGCCTAAATGGTGAACACGAAGAAGCTTCACGCAGAGAGAGACGGCAAACAAAGGAAGAGCTCACGTCATTGATTGACAGCTACCACGTGCAGCAGACGTCATCTCCCATGCAAACCGCTCTGCAGTCTTCTTCTTCACTTCTGTAAGCCTTTCTTCATACTTTTCAGTTCAAATGTCCGAGATTTGGTTATGAAGGAAACTTTAAATCTCTTTAGGCCATCCATCATTCTTTAAAGCATAGTGAAGAAGCTATTTTAATAGGACCTTCATCTTTTAAAAAAATGAGATAATATTATTTTCATGTTTATATTGTTCCATTAGAAAGTTATGGGTGTCCGAAATTAAAATCAACAAGACTTTCGTCTCAATTACTTCAATTGTTGCTTGCATCCCATGCGGAGACGTTGAAATCATCTTTGACAAAATATGTCTTTTGAGTGAAGATCAAGGAGAAAGCAAATCTGACACTGAAGGACTAAGAATTAGAGAGCAAATAAAAATTCAAACTGCAAAGCTAAATAAAGTAAAATAAATTCATCTCCTGACTGAATGTATACGTCTTACTGGTATAATGTAATTGGGATAAACAGTGTTTCAAAATAGTATTGGAAAGCCTAGAAGATATAATAATCGTGAAGTTAGCGATTGACCATAACATATTTCTCTGTAAGGTTGTCTTGAGACTTAGAAAAGGGTCATTCACATTCTATGCCTTCCAGTATATTGTTTTTCTATTTTGCATATACTGGGGGAAAAAACTATAAAAAAACAAATGGACCCAAAGGCTTGCTGGTACATATGTGATTCAAACCCAAAGCTAACAGCAATTATTTTCTTTGCTGCTATCCACTCCACACGAACAGCAAGGAGTTTGGATATCTCAAAGCGAATCAAACTCCATCCTAAAAAATTGGGAAGGTTGGTAGTGATAGACAGGAAGGAAAGAAAACTCAGAAAAGAGAAAAAGTCCTCTGGATACCTCTTTTTGTTTTCCGTTCTAAGCTCTTTTTCCCAGAACAGTCACAAAAAGCAGCACCAAGTAAAATTAATATAGAATGCAGCACCTCATTAGCTTCATAATATGAAAATCTGGAGCATTCAAGTCTTGGTGTGTCTCCAACTTTCTCGATTTTGAAAAAAAACGTGCAAAGTGCAATATTCGATCCACATCATTTCTCAACTTTTCTTTGACAACTTACGTTATCTAAGGGTCCCAATTAACAATCACCACACGACTTCTAGCATTTCCATTTCTCTTTGTCGAATCCTTCCTTCTTGCTCCTTCTTATTTGTGTCCACTTCCTCCTCTTCCTTTCCCTCACTGCTTGAAATATTAAACTTTTCAAATTTGGAAGATCCATGTCTATGTCATCCTATTGTGTAAAGCTCCATAAACGTAGAACAGCTTGAGACACAAGTTCAATATCCCAATGAACTTACAAAACAAAAGACCTTTAAAATTTGGCATTCCTTAAAACAAAGACACATATGAAATTCCCAGGTGAATACTTTAGAAGTCAACCGAAACATGTTCAACATACTTTTAAGAAGTTTTGGAACATAAAACATAATCATTTTATAACATAGACATAAAGTCATTGTTTTGGCCTATGAATGATACAAACCTTTGAACTAAATATTTAAATCATTTTAAATTCAAAAGCATCTGTCCAAGGATCTGAGCCCAGTCACTTGTGTCTCATTCTGAGGTATTGCCAGTCACACGACCAGCAACACAAAGCCAACACAACAACCTCTCATTCAGCATTAGTTGATCCGTAACTTAAACGAAGACATGGTTTAATACAGACACCAGGACTCCTTCATGGGGAAAACCAAAATGGGCTTTCCATTTCATCTGCCACATTTGGTCTTTGTAAAGTTGTGGTACAGACACAATCTACTGAAATCATGTCAACGAGTAGGCTACTCAAATGCAATAGATGTTCAAACAACAAAAACCATGTGTTTCTATTTCACAGTACCATGAGACAGTTTTATTTAGAATTCACAACAGTAAATATTGTGCAAATAAAAAGATCATCCTCTAGAGGCCAGTAACAATTCAACTGTAAGTCAATATTTAAACAAAACTTGACATGTAGAACTTCCAGGGGGAATAAATCAGAAGCTAAAGAATGCTTTGTTCATTTTGATTAGTGTTATCTTTCACTCAGAAGTAGGGCCTATTAATTCACTTTGAATGAGGCAAGACCACAGAAAGCAGACCAGGATACCATCGCTTTGTACCCAAAATCACACATGTCATGTGAATTTTCTGTCCTTTCATTAACAGACTTTTGAGGTCAATTGCCCTCCGTTACCCGCTCATATAACTTAAAAATAGGTAATCACCATCCCATTCCTCGTGGCACCAGCAATTGACATTTGTCATGGTGTAAATTCGTTCTTCAATATAATTTTTCCACACACAAATTTTTTTCTTCTGAATTGAGTACTGCCAAACACACAAACAAAACACCTGAAACATCCCATATAACCTGAGGCCAGACACATTTAAAACGCTGTGCCTTCTAAACCACTTTATCCTTTTAAGTTCGAAATGACAAAGCATACGAAAAAGTCAGGAAAAAGGAAAATCACTTGCCATCAGTGTACTAAATAGTCAGCGCATATGCTAGGAGCTCGCTTACTAAACTTGGGTTGTACACGTGTTATGTGAGAGTTTTTGTAATACTGAGAAAGGCCACTATGCATGACATTAATTATTGAAACCGTAAAAGTTTTACTCCCTCATCAACACTCTTAAGATCATTTAGGAGACGGGCTGCTCCGACACTTTGATCATGCCAGTCAGAGCCAACCCAGGCTGAGAAGGACACAACCTCCTAGCAGAAAGAGGGAGAAACTCAATAAAGATTCTCCCAACGTGGGAATCGGACTCACATCTCCTGCATGCTATGGCAAAGCGCCTCACCGCTATACCACAGACGTCCGCCCGAATGACTGTAAAAATCCAGTACTTTTAATTATAGAAGCATAAACAGGCTGCATTTTCTTGAAAAGTTTGTCAAAAAGAAAAAAATACGACAAACAATACAATTCTTTCCAGAACTCCTGTTCGTCATTTAAAAAATTACCCAACAGGAAAAGTATACAATGCGTAGTTTTGATATTAAAAAAAGGAGAGAACTAGTATTTCTTTCACTGACCAATTGAGCAAAAAAAAATGTTTTAGAGACTTTCAGCACAAACATTTTGATAAAGGCACCTATGACCTCAAAAAGGCAACAGAACAATTGATATTCAACAACTCAGAATATTACTGACCTCTCTTCAGTAAAACTTATTCGCATGTAAAAGAAAAATTATACAGATGGGAATGATTGTGCAAGAGCACAAATCATGAGCAATCAGAAAAAAATTAACTGTGTAACGATTTCAAAAAGGAAACTAGATCAAATGCGTATGATGCTCTCATCAAAGATCAATAATTGTATGCTTTTCAGTCATATGCTATGACATCTTCTTGGTGAAGCTACATAAATGATAGACAAGTCCTATAAAATACAACAGGATGAGTATACGTTACCCTCCAATGACAGGACCATTATGAACATAATAATGAACTTCAGGTATATATGGCTCCTATTTCAAATGTGGTCCAAGCTTTCTTTCTTTGGTGTCACAGTATAAGCTTGCCAGAGCTATTAGCTTTCATGTCGAGCTAAAGTTCACCACTAACAAAATAACCAAATGTATAATAAGTGAGAGAGAAGCTACTTAACATGGCTCTCTCTTCCGTTCCCCAAGATGTACAAATTTTTGACCTAACCTTGAACATGCAAGCTCTTCAGGAAAACCACAATTTCAGATTTTGACCAGTAGGTGCATCCCTTTTTCATAGACAAAGCTCAAGGCAGCCTTTCAAGTGTTGAATCCGCACAATAACTTAAAGGAAATAATCTCTAACTTAAACTGCATTCTGATACCCGTACAGACGATTTTGGAATGGTGTCATTTAAAAGTATTTAAATATGTATTAAGTGAAAATATTAAAGGAACACATCTATGAACAAATCCTGTTCAAAACTTCAGGCAAAGTTTATATGGTGAAATAAAAAACAATAACTCGGTTCATCAAAATAAGGCGCCACTTTTTCAAGACAAAATTCATTGACTTGTAAAAATATAGAGACATGGTCAAAGAATGTGCGTTACACAGTATAAAATTTAATACATATATGTTTGTTACAAACACATGGCTCTTTCACGAGGACAACCATTGAAAAAAAGACTGAGACTGGTTCAAACAAATATATTTTGATTACTCTCTGGGAAAAATTAATGCACCCTGCCCAGTGGAAAGAAGGTTTGGAAGAAGACAATCTACACATAAATTGGAAAGCACAGAATTTCGATGAAATCATTGGTACTTTCAGACATATCACAAGAGACCTTGAATCAATCTACAATCTAAAGCAGATGTAAGATTTATAAGCCTAATAAAAATGTCTTTCTAGGCTACAAGTATGCTAAACTGTGTGCAAGGGCTACACACTACTCAAACAGAAGAAGTCAGAATGTTTTCTTAAAGGTAGAATAAAGCCTGAACTATAAATTGTCAAGAGTCAGAAGGACAACAAAACTGTATAATGTCCATTTCAAACATTTTGTGATTTGTAAACCAATGACTAAAACCCCATTAGAAAATGCAATGGCACAATATACATCTATCTCAAACCAAAAAATGTTGCCACAATGTGTACACTCATCATAACAATTCTGACATGTAAAACCTTGATTTTAAAAAAGTTGATTAAATATTTGTGACAAAATTATGTATGATGCTCTCAAAGAAACAGTTGAGTCCATGGTTTAGCAATCCAAGAAAAGCGTACAAATTATAAACCACACCCCCAAAACAGCAGGCACTTGTATACACTGGTCATTGTATACACTTTAAATAAAAACACAATGTACTTGATATATCTATGCATTGTAAAACCAACAAACCCTGTATTCCTTAAAGGTAGAAAATTTTGGACATTTCATTTTGTCTTCCATTAGTTACAGTTGAAAATGAATTATTTAGATAAAAGTTCTAACATCTAAAAGTATAGTACAGTAGATCAAAGCAGTTCATTACAACAAAAACAAATTAATCTAATGAAGAAAGGAAATGGAACAATAAGTTGGACAAGCATTACTTGACTCTAGCAGTTTCAGCAGCTACGCTGTGTAGTACAGGCAAACTACTTACGAGGGCTGGTACTGCAGTCCTGCTGGTGGGTCCATGGTGGAGATGGTGGGTCTCTCCAGGATGCCTACATCAAGGTCAAAGTTTGAGATTGGCTGTGTGGGAGCACCACCACCTCCGCCGCCGCCGCCTCCAGCGTTTCTGCCCACGTTGAGGCCTCCAAGAGCTGTAAAGTCTCCAGTGGGTTGGCGTCGCCCCAAGATGGCATTCGAGCGAGGGCTAATACAAAAGAGAAAGAAGAGAATTACAATTTCAGATTTCAAAACGGATCAATGTTCTTTGATTTAACACAAGAGTAAAGAACTTCACACAACATGTTTCTTGACTTAACTCAAGAGTAAAGTATTTCACTTGACTCAATGGAACTTTTGCGGAGGCCCATCTTTGATCCCTATATTTATATCTCAGCATAAATTCCTCGTCTGATGACAAAAACCTCTGAGTTAAACAGTATTTTAGCTCTCTAAAAAAGCACATATTTTTGGCTTGCAAAAGCAGGTTCTTCAAATGACACCTAATACTTAGGCCTGCCACTCCCAAAGCAGCAGAGGCCATCCATGGATCCTCCCCATCTAACGGAGATATATGCTGTTTTCTAACCCCATTCCCCTGCTGCCCTGTCTTTTCAGCCCCTTAAGGATAGGTATTACCCTCAAATGCCATTTCCAAAGTGTGACGAAAAAGAATTGCGTGAAACAAAAATTGATAAACAAAAATAACAGAAGGAGGTGAGAGACAGGAACACCTATTGCAGTGTTGCTCTCCAAACACTGACAGCTGAATTAAAAAACCAAAGACATCACTTCGCAAGTCAAAAGGCAATAGCTTATTAACTTTTCTTGTACCCCAACAACTGATCTTCCCTTTATTTTCTATGTGCTAGAGTAATAAGTACGAGTAGAAGTAACAGGAGCAAAGAACAGAAAATGTTAACCCCCCATCATCATCTACATACAACATGGCATTGGACTCAAAGGGATGAGCTGAGTAAACAATAATGAACGGATTAGAAGATCGGTGTCGACAAAGCAACATTTCACTGTCGTCCCTTCTGCATTTCTTGTCACAGGGTCAAGGAGATCAACGATGCACCCCTTTAACTTTCTCCCTAGCTTATGAACCTCAGCATGTTTAGAAGCCTAACAGGGTCTGCACAATACCCAAACTCACCTGATATCATCCAGCTTGTGCAGATCATCCAGGATCTTGGTGTGGTAGGCACCAACATTGTTAGCTCTACGTGGGGGACGAGGATCCACGCGGTTTGATTCCAGGTGGATCGCCCCAGTGTTGTTGATCAGTGACCCCTCTTGGCGTTCCCTGGAAAAACAAGAGAGGAGCAAAGATTACATTTTGTTGTTGTTGCTGTTGTTGTTGCTGCTGTTGTTGTTGTTGTTGTTGCTGCTGCTGCTGCTGTTGTTGTTGCTGTTGTTGTTGTTGCTGCTGCTTCTGTTTTTCTCCTCGTCCTCCTCCTCCTCCTCCTCCTCCCCCTCCCCCTCCTCCTCCTCCTCCTCCTCTTCTTCTTCCTCCTCCTCCTCCTCCTCTTCCTTCTCCTTCTTCCTCTTCTTCTTCTTTTTCTTCTTCTTCTTCTTCTTCTTCTTCTTCTTCTTCTTCTTCTTCTTCTTCTTCTTCTTCTTCTTCTTCTTCTTCTTCTTCTTCTTCTTCTTCTTCTTCTTCTTCTTCTTATCGCTGCTGGAGCTCAAGGAGTAACTGACTACAAGATCTTCAGCTCACAGTGCAGTTGATTTTTACGTACAAGGCCATTGGCCATTTCATCTAAAACAACAAACAAAACAAAAACTAACGCTAGCAGGAATTGAATTCCAAACCATTTGGTTGGAAGGTGAACACAATGCCTGTTGAGCTACTGATCCCTAACTTTAAAAAGAAAATTGTTTCTTTACTCGTTTCTTTATCTGGCCATAAATGCATACTTAAATTTCAGAAAAAACTGCTTGTCACCTTTATATACTCACTACTTTTCAACAAGTTAGGACAACAGTAAAGTGGTGGTGGTGGGGGGTGATGATGACGATGATTAAGATGAGGATGACAACGACAATGACGACGACGAAGATAATGATAATGATGATGATGATGATGATGATGATGATGATGATGATGATGATGATGATGATGATGATAGTGATGGTGGTGGTGGTGATGATGATGATGATGGTGGTGATGACATGATGATGGTGATGATGATGATGATGGTGATGGTGGTGATGGCGATGATGATGGTGAAGGCGATGATGATGATGATGACGACAATGCTGACGATGATGACGATGATGATGATGATGATGATGATGATGATGATGATGATGATGATGATGACAACGATGGTGAAGATGATGATGACGATGACGACGATGATGATGATGATGATGATGATGATGATGATGATGATGATGATGATGATGATGATGATGATGATGACGACGACGACAATAACGACGATGGTGATGATGATGATAATGATGGTAATGGTGATGATGATGATGATGATGACAAAGCGCAAAAAAGACCAAAATCAGTTTAAAAATCAATTGCAGACACACAGAAAATGGTCACCCACATCTTTCTAGCATATGCAGCCTCAGCCATCTGCCTCTGCAGGTCTCGCTTGTACTCCTCTTTACGTATCTGCTCCTCCGACATCATATCTCGACCTGGCCACACAAGAAATGGGATTTATCCTTGTTCGGACTCTTTTTCTGTATTGATATAGGTGTTTTTTGAAACCCCTATTGACATAACTCAGATAATAGGGGCATAGGCTTCCACCCTGCCTGTCAAGGCCATCCTGGGCAGAGAGAGATATAACGCTCCAGTAGAAAGACCGAGCTACTCAATAAATTTTTACCCAAGACGGGAATCAAACTTAGGTCTTCGGCATGTGATGGCAAAGCACCTAACCACTACATCACAGATGCTAGTGGCCAGACTTTAGTTATGACATTGTCAGAAATATGAGAGACAGTGAGGTGAAATCAGGCGCTCGTCAGAGTAATGAAATTGAAGAAACTGCCATTTTAATTTTTCCGCTGGTTAGGAAATTCGTTATCGAAACTTTGTTTTTGGCTCAACATCTTTTATGTTCAAATAAGAACCCATTTCTGTGTGGATTTTACTGAATAACCTTGATCAAAGGTACAAAAATGTAAATTTCCAGTCTCAACGGACTCTCGGGCTATGTAAATAATCAAGCTTTGACGGCTATTTTCTTTCTAATTGTACTTCCGAATTCCGAGGACCCCCACCTCCTTCAATTGCAAATATCTTGACTTGTATTCAAGGTAAATGGGTCTTTCTTTCATCGCCCTCACTTCCTTCAATTGCAAATATCTTGACTTGTATTTAAGGTAAATGGGTCTTTCTTTCATCGAAAGTAAGGCAAATGAATAGGATTTAAGGCAGTACCAATAACTCCATATGCCACAAAATTCACGATCGCCTGATTCCACCGCGTCGTGACACAAAGGCCTATGGGGAAAAATACAATACTCGTGGTCATTAATCATTGTAACGCTCCTATAAGACTCCGATTTTAACATTCATCTTCAAAATAACCAAGCCAAATAGGTGGAGAGCCTTAAAAATTCACCAAAACACCAGAATATCAGAACGTCTCTTTGGTGACTTGAAACAGGGTCATTCGTTCTATAGTCCAGTACGTCTAACAGCCCACCCTACGTTTCTATACTCGTGTGAAATAATCCACACACATAAAACAAGAACAAGACGTAAGACGTGTGCTTCACCTTTAAAATTGCCTGACATAGTTTAGCATATGGGGCTCTTGTGGTCTAGAGGTTAAGGTGTCTTATTCAATAGGTCCCGGGTTCGAAACCTGACAGCGACGGAATTTTTTCTTCTCTAAAATTTTCTCCATTCACTTCCTTTCCAGCTCTCTGACAGTGTTCTGTTGTCTGCTTTCGTCTCTAATTTTG